GAGAGAGTGTTTTGGGTGGGTGGGGGGTTGGGGGGGTTCGTGATGCTGACCAAAGTGTGTAGTAGTGATTAGTTTTAGAGGGTAATTGAGGGTTAGCGTTTGAAGGGTTAGATTTCAGCTCTTGATATGCACATGGATGATTGAATGCCTCTGCGCATTTCTTTCCTCTCAAATTTTTAATTCGATACTTGTACTTTTAATACATTATTTTAAAATATGTGGTGTGGCTCCAATAGGCGATCAGAGGTGAGAAAGTAGACTTAGGTGGACTGGCCATGTGCAACGCACCCCCAATACAATACTTGTTAGGAGGTGCGAGTTGGTTCAAGTGGAAGGCTCAAAAAGGGCAAGGGGCAGTTCCAAAAGGAGATGGTTGGAAGTAGTGAGAAAATATATGGGGACTTATGGCATCACTGAGGGTATAGCCCTTCATAGATCAAAATGGCGGACTAGGATTCATGTAGGCGGCCCAAAATAGTTGATAAAAGGCTCTGATGATGATGGTAATGATGATGATTTTCGAATATCCTAAAAGCATTTAATTGTGAGCAAAGCATCTCATATAATCCTGAAATACATAGAAAACCATAAGGGCAATGTTGGAAACGATAGTGTTAGGGGTATCAATTTGAAACATCCAAGGCGTAGATTATTGAATGACTTGCTTTCTATTCTCCACTCTAAACTTCCCATTCAATATATATATATAAAAAAATAATCTAATTTTTAGAAATTTAAGCTTCTCTTTTAGAAATCCTTAAAGATTTCACAAATTTTCCTCATTGAAACCTATGTAATCTGGAAGTACAAAGAAAAAAGCAAGGTTATTGTTGTAAAAGTAAGGGTTCGGATTTCAATGTAGCTTTTTTAGCTGTAAATTATTAAATGAGGCGCTCCTATGATACCATTCAATGTATCTAATTTATTTGATTTTATACACTTTTTCTAAAAAACGTTGATGACGACTTCTTTTGTCACATGACCTTATCAAACTTTGAAAGGTTATCAAACTTTGAAATATTGAATATTGTAAGGGTTTTTTTGATAAGAATATGACTACGCCTTCTTTTATGTAGGAACATTTTCTCAACAGATCCTCTTACTTTAGGTGAGCGCGTTATAGTTTTGCATACTAAAATGTTAATCGATATGGAACTAAAATGGTTGATGTATTTTAGGAATATAATAAACCAGTCACCCCTTGCAAATTCATACTATTAATATAGCATATAGATATAAATTACGATATATATGGGCATGTGCATATATTTTGTGATCACAAACGGGTGCATGGTATGAGAAGTTTCTTGAAAGATTTTTGCTTGTGCTTTGCTGTTTCACCACAATGTCTGTAATATTGGGGTTTAGAGTTGTATTTTAGCACCGTCACATCAAGATACACCATCTATTTCTTAATGTTGGGTTTTGGAGATTAACCTATTGGATCGACCTGGATATCCACCCAGGTACTGTTAGTTTCCATAATCTGTCTATGAGATTGGATGGTAAATGGCCTATGGACGTGTGATATATCATCCGTAGTTTGGTGTATCATATAATGTCCGTTTTGGTTTTAGTTCTTATTCTTCCTCTTCTTTTACAGAGGCCAGCGAACAACTGCAGCAGACAGATAGAGATTTAAGAAAAGAGGTCAATAAATTAAGAGGGGAGCTCCATGATCTCCATTTGAAGCATAGGTCGATAGCAAATGACGTGCAGAATCACTGTGACATTGATGCAAGGAATAAATCTGAGCTTAAACGTTTAGCAGGTAATTACCTTCAGCATTATGCATGAACTAGCTAATGGCACTTGCTTTGCACGTTGCATCCATTGAGAAACGACGTGAAAGTTATTTTTCGTAACAATTTCGTTAAAATGAAAATTAATATGTTGTTTGATTTTATGTTAACAGTTCTCAAGAAAAAATTATGTTGTTTGATTTTTTTTTTTTTGAAGTCCCTTGATATCACTTCTATGACTTTTTCATTTCTTACACTCCTTACACTCCTACTATCTAATTTCTTTCTGTTTAGAAGTGTATTTTGTTGAGATAGGTATCAGGGTGTTTGACAGGCAATTCTATTTGGTAGGGATTCTATTTTGATATATGTGATGTCTTAAAAGATACACACATATGTGTGTGTGTTTAATTTCTTAAAAGTAATATATATACATATATATACATAGATAGATTGATTGATATACACGCACGCACACACACATGGACATAATATATATATAATATATAGTATATATATACTAATAGTATAATATAATAATAAGTAAGTAAAGTTATTAACGTAGTATATTAATTATAGTTAGT